AAAGGAGGGACTTGTGGTCGAATCAAACGGCGCCAAGTGCATCTTCACTGACGTTGATGATGTGAATATTATAATTGATAATTCGATTTGTTATTATTATAATTATCAGGTGCCAATGATGGTAGTGAAGAGTGATGGTGGTTACGGGTATGATAGTACTGATGTGACGGCGGTGTGGTATCGATTAACTCAACTACACGCCGATGAAGTTGTTTATATTACCGACCTCGGACAAGAAGTTCATTTCAAGAAGCTCTTTGAAGTCGCCAAGATGGCCGGTTGGCATCATCCTCCTCAAACTAAACTCGAATACCTCGGCTTTGGTGTCGTCTGTGGTGATGATGGCAAAAAATTCAAAACTCGATCGGTGGGTCGTCGTCATCTCGACGGTTATTGTCATTGATTATTATGAATTCCCTTCAGGGCGCCACTGTGAAGTTGACTGACCTTCTCGATGAGGCCGAGGACAGGGCGAGGAAGGAATTGGAGTCGAGACTTAACGCGGGGGAAGGGGAGGCGGCCGGACGATCGACTGGACTCACTGAAGAGGAATTCGATAGAGCATCGAAGATCATTGGTGATGATGATGTGATGGAGGTGTGGTATCTAATAGATTATCTTTCAGGTGTTGCATCTGTTCGATACTTTGACCTTCGCCAAAACAGAACTACCAATTACATATTCAATTTCGATAAGATGCTCGACCCGAAGGGCAACACTGCGGTCTTCCTACTTTACGCCTACGCCAGAATTTGCAGTATCCTCAGGAAGGCGAACTTTGATTATCAGTAAAAACACATAACATTTTCATTTTCGACATCTCCTCCGATAATCATCAGTTCGGGTCTCGACTACTCATCTGAAGAAGTCGTCATCACAGAGGAGAAAGAGCGGTCTTTGGCTTTGGAGATCCTCCGCTTCGCTGAAGTGATGCAGTCTGTTCTCTCAGACCTTCAATGTCATCGACTTTGTGAGTATATGTGGGACCTCACCAACAGTAATCATCATACCACACCTTCGTCTAATCATCCACCAT